GGGGGGGGGGGAGAAAGCAGAAAAGCCCCGTCTCCTCAGCCAGCATCTTTGTTTGTCGGGCCCTGCCGCGGGGAAGAGGAGCGGCGAGTTACCGGTGCCCCCCCCCGTCTCTCTTCGGGGCCTTCCTCCCCCGCCTGTGCTTCCCGGGCGCTGCCTCCGTTCTCGGCGGGTTTGTTTTACCCCCTCGCGGCTGGATATCTCGGGTCCGGAGCATCGTCGGTGGGACCGGCCGGGCCGAGCACGGGTGGAGGACTAACGCGGAGGAAACAACAGGTCTCCCTTCTCGGCTTCCAAAGCGATACCCGCGCCTTGCTCTTGGGATTATAAATGTTTGAACTAAGACCCAGGGAACTGGAAGGAGAGCCTCCCGTTGGAATTAACAGAAGAGAAAAGAAGGGAGGCTTTTCCAAATCCTTTACGAGAAAGCTCGTGCCGACTTCCCATGCTGTCCGTACTCTCTTTAATAACGCGATTGTGACCTGAGTGGAATTTATGAGCGATGAACTATTGAAGCTTGTTGCACCACTGCATCAGACTACGGTTTTGGTTTTTTCTTTTTTTTCTTAGCACATGATTCCCCCATCCCAGCTGTTGCAGGACCTATGGGCCAGTAATAGAGGGATGGGAAGCTGAGACGGTTGATTTTCACATTCTTGTGTTCTGGGGACTTGGCTAGTTAGCTGAAGCTGCTGCTGCTTTTTACTGGATCTGCTCTTTTCTCGGCAGGTTTATTTGTTTTCACGTGCACGGGGTGTTTCAATTAAACAGATGTTGGACTAGAGCTGAATGGATGCTTTGCAATCCAAAGGGGTTTTTGGGATAACTAAAAACTACTAAAAACAGAGAAGAACTGGTACGGCAGGAAACCTGGGGCCTGTTTTCCAAGCCTTTTTATTTTATTGAGCAAGGTAAATAACATAGTGGTGTTGAAAATACAGGGCTGATGGTAGTCATGCATGAAAATGTTACAAAGCACTTCAGGCTGTTCCAAGTCCTTCAAGGGATTGAGGGGTCCCACAGTAAGGCTCGGAATAAGTTTAATTGTTCTTTAAAATGTTCAGATACGAGTGTGAAATTTAAGGCTGAGAACAAATGTTGTGGTACCTGAGAGGTTGAGTGCGCTACTTTTTCTGATTTGCCTTAGGTTCTTGTAGGTTTGTGGTGTTGAGAGAGGCTGTCTGAAGAACTTTAGAAGTCTTAGTGGTTCAGTGAGAGCATGCAGTAATTATATTAGTGGTTTTTTCCATGCTTTTTTAAAACTTGATGCCTTGGCCTCTTGTAAGGATCTGTTAGGATCTCTTAAATTCCTTCCAGTTTAACAGTACAGTACTTTTATTTATGTTGTTAACTGTATTCATACTCTGCCTTTAATTATTTTTGCTTACCTTTGCTTTTGTTATCCACAGTGACAGCTGCTACCATTTCATAATGAATTTTTTGCTTTTTATCTTCCTTTACGTGTGTATCTCCTGAATTGGACTATTTGGATTTATCACTAATTTACATGCATCACTTTTACCATAGACTTTCTACAGCCAGCATAAGCTCAAAGTACTGTTTTAGATACTATCTTTGTAAGTTTCAAGCGTTGGAAGAAGCAGATAATGAGTCTCAAAATATGCACTGTAATCAGTTACTGCTGTAAGTGTATAATTTTTGGTGGCATGCTGCATGCCTTATCTTTGTTTTTTTAAAGTTCTCAGAAGCAGTTTACTCTTAACAAAAATATAAGTCCATTAAAATGAGATCACAGTTTGAAACGTAGCTGTAAAAATCTGGTTTTGCAAGAAGTCACAAGATTCTCATTATGAAGTGATGCCTTGATTAAATTGATTGTACACCTTTTCTCCTGCAGTCTTAATGAAATAGTGGCAAGCACTAAGGTGTTGGCAACCTTTGCTGATGCTATCATTGAGAAAACTAAGTTGGTACTATGGGTAGTATCCAAAGCTCCTTTGCTTATCCTGTTTAGATTTGACTTTAAATTTATGGTCTTTGTTTTGTCTTATTTTGTTTCAAGATGATGTGTGAGGTGATGCCAACCATCAGTGAGGCAGAGATTCCCTCTGGGGGAAATGGAGGCCATGGTTCAGGTTCCCCGTTACAGTCAGATGCTGATTCCCATTTTGAGCAATTAATGGTATCCATGTTGGAAGAAAGGGATCGCCTTCTGGAAACACTAAGAGAAACTCAGGAGACGCTAGCATTGACCCAGGGCAAGCTACATGAAGTTGGTCATGAGAGAGATTCCTTGCAGAGGCAGCTCAATACTGCACTTCCACAGGTATGGACGTTTTGAAAGGAAGGTATCTTTTGATATTTGTATTCTCTGTGGTATTTTGTTGGCTTTTTGTGTATTTAATTTACTGAAGCGTCAGGTCATGTTAAGGGAAGATGAATCTAGCTTAGTACTTTCCTGAAGTACCTGTTGGTCCTTGCTCACTTTGAGAAAGATGCAAAAGCAGGGAGCATCAGCCCTTTCCCTCCAGTATGCTTTCCCAGTTTCTGGCATTTCTTTGGCTTAGCCTGAGTGTGAAGTCGTATCTACATCCTTTCGTTTAATAGAACTTCATAGACTTTCTTCTGTCACTAGTATTTTTTTTAATGTTGTTTCTAACTGCCTTATTCACGTGCTTAAGAATTACATACCGGCCATTCTGATACTGTTATGGCCTTTGATTTAAAAACCTGAAAAGTTTAAGACTGCTACCTTGTGAATACTTGCTGAGTTGTCATGGCAGTGTAGAAGCCCAAGTGTGTTGTTCAACTCATTTAGTTCTTTAGTTCCTTTTGGAGAGTTTGGATTTGTTTGTTTGTTTGTTTTTTGTCTTGTTAGGAGTTAATAATATTGACTCTGGGGGATGCAGTGTACCAACATACAGCCTGTAGTGTAAATATTTTACATAGGGCAGTAGTGCATAGTTAGGAAGGGTGATCGGTGTCTACAGAACGTCTTGGTTTTTATCCATTCTAGTTAAAAAGAATACAACTGAACTTTGAACGCTTGGAAAAGCATTTGTTTGTAGGCAAAGCAGAGGCTGCTTTCAGGTGTCAGTTAACTGTTGATAGCCTTGCACTTTCTAGCGTGGTCGGTTGTCCCAAGTATGTCATGATGATGTTATACTTGCATACATTATTCCAAGAATACTTGTTATTTTTACAAATGTTTACATATCCTTTAATATTGTAATTACTGTTTATACCCTCTAAAACAGTAGTTTTAAACCCTTCTGACCCTTCTGTTTCCACTGCTTTCGTTATAATGTAATCACTGTATGACTCTTGGTATGGTAATTGGTACTGGCAATTACTAAGGGATAGAAACTAAAAAGTAATACATGTTAATCTAGTTGTGTTACAAGGGTGTGATGGAAATCAGAAAGGAGAACTTTCCAACCTTTGCTGCTCCCTGTGTTAAATCATGTGCTGCAGGCAAAAATCATTCTTTGTTTTTTTGTTGCAATAATTGTGGCTTCTCTTTAGCCGCTATTTCAGGTCTGCTACATTAATGGATGCCATTAACCAATTGTATGATCTGTAGACTGTTATACTTGAATTTGTGGCTGAGTAGAATCACCCAAGGTCTAAACTGTACTGTTCCTCTTTTCTCTTTTAAGTTCTTAGCTTTTCTTCCTAAATCTAGTAAGCTACTTATATGTAAACATTTCTTTCTAAACGTTTCTAAAAGATTAATGCAGTTAAAAACAATTCCCATTTTGTATGGGTTCATGTGAAATCTGTAGGAAAGCAAGTCTCATAGTTCGGTTGAGAGAGAAATTTTACTGCAATTTTATATAAATATACAGCAGTGTATGTATTTTTGTAGATTGCTGTTGAAAAATACTGTTGTCGTGGTGTGAAACTATGCCACTTTTGTCCTCAGTGGTGCTTAAGCTCAAATGATTGTGGAAGGTGATGATGGTGCTTTCAAAAGTCAAAAATATTTTTATTATTCTTGCTACAATCAGAAGTAGCTGCTGTATTTGACAAGTTTTTGTTGTTGTTATGGTAAAGAGTCAGTTACTTCATAGGTGTAAATTTCTGGCGAGGAGAAACAATGTTTGTTGTTTTTTTTAAATTCTAGTAAGTGTTCACTAGGAAAACTTTGTGGTGACTGTAATACTTGAAACTATTCAAACTTTTTTGTTAATTATTTCAAGCTGAGCATTCTTTTGAACTGCTGTCTCAAATGACCCATTGTTTAGCTGTGGATTTCAAGGAGGGGTAGAAGCAGGATAACTTTAAATTTACTGACAACTGTGTTATATTTTTTTTTTTTCAGGAAAGAAGGGATTTAGTAGTGTACATTTTTTTTGAAGTTTTTTTTATCATAGTAGTTATTTTCAATTTAGTAGAAAGAGATGTGAAGATCAATTTAACTAGTTGTACAAATACCAGTATAACTGCAGGAATTACTAGGTCACTATGTAACCAATGTATTATTTTTTCCCTCAGACTTGGCATATACCTTGTAACATGTCTTTGTAGTTGATTTGGGAGTACTTTATCTTAAGGAGTATTAAATTGAATTGTTTGTAGGTACACTTTTCCTGTTTTATATTTTTAGCTGAATCAGCCAGTTAGAAAGTTCTGATGACTGATGGAAACTCCTTGTATAAAAGAAGGAATGCCAGATCGATTGCTTCTATACCAAAACTACTTCTCTGTCTTTAATATGAAGACACTCAATTTCTAATGGCATCCCTCTACTTAATTCCTTATATTCACTGAGTTTCTGTGTGTAAGGAAGAGGCTCATACTGGTGTGTGTATAGTTAAAAAATGGCAAATGGGTACTTGTGTATTTGCACATCTTTTAGATGATAAAAGTAAATGCAATTTATTCTGCAGCAGTGATGTGCATTTTCTGAAGTGACAAAGAAGCAGACTTTGTACATACAAGAGCACATACTTGTAATGTGGTGGTCAGCTAATAATTTAAAAGCCTCAGTTCTAGCTCACATAAACCTGAAACAGGTATTTAGAGTAAGAAGACTTTTGTTGTGGATGTCCAATTCACAAAGGGAAGAGCATTCCAATCGTATAGATGTGCTTTATCTGTTACATTTACACAGAGTAAAACTGACAAGTTTTTCTTGTATGGACAGCTGGAAATGAAATACATCAACATTGTCTTGATAAAATAACTGGATTCTTGGCAATGCTTTTTGTTTTCTGGGAGTTACCTTCTATTATAGCTTACCCTAGTCAAACTGTACTCTGACCTTGGAAGATGAACTTGATGAAATCAAATTGCTGTGCAAGAACTTAAAATTAATTTTACTCTTCCTGGAATTTAAATTTATACTTTGAGAACTTAGAGAACTTTTATTTTTAATGTAAACACATTCAGTTATGATTTATTTATGGTCTTAGTGGACTTAATTATGCCCTTTATGTGCCTTCTAGAGTATATTCTACAACATTCAGGGTTCAAAATTTTTAAGTTAATCTGCGAAACATGCAGGATGCTACTGCATTTAAAAGTTAAGTTTTGAACTTAAGGTAGATGAGTTCCAAGTAACTGCCACTTCTTGCTATTAAGGTATTGTAGGTTAGGGTTCATTTTGCTGGTAGAATTTCATGTAGACGTTTCTGTAAATGACAACAAGATATTTGTTTTGGATGGAGAACACTAGAGTTTAATTTACAGAGACTCTGGTACCTAGCACAAATAAAAGCACAGTTGATGAATTCACAGCAACTGTTATCGGGATGACAATTTTAATATGTATGTTAAGAATTTTATAAGCTGATGTACAAATATTATGCTTCTATAATACAACAACACTCTTATTAAGATCCATCTTAATCTTGCACTTCTAATCTTTTGGTCTTAAATTTATCATGCTTTATTTTCATTTCTGTGCAAGGTAAGTAAAATAGAAGTTTTTTCTGTATTTGTGATGGTCCTGTTCAGAATTTCTGTATTCAGCAAGGTATATATAGGGGCAGATGAGAACTTTGTCAGAGGCTGTGTGTATCTGTGTGTAAATAAGAGCACTTTACTGTAGTGTGGAGTTAAAGGTGGAAAAAAAAGCTGCCTATAATTTTGGTTTGGCTTTGGCTTTACTAGGTTGCTCATCATATCTTCATTTAAAGTGAGTCCGCAGCAAGCCATCTTTAGTTGCTTTCTATCTATAGTAAATATTTTATCACTACTGCACGCTTCAGTTAGAAATAGTGTGTGTCTGTTTGTGTTCACTTAAGTTCAGGTATGTCTCTATAGAATGATCTTCCTTAGACAATCTCAGAAATACTGTTTGATGTCTTGCTTGTAAGAAATATCTACACACTTGGTCTGAAGACTGCCCTGGTATTGTTTTATAATGATGAACTTAAGGATTTACTTGCCATTTTAATAATGGTGGTGTTTGGATTTTCTCCAGACAAGTTTTAAATAATACAGGATGTCATAGATGTAGAAATGAGTGTACGTAATGTGAAGAAAACAGTTGCAGAAAGGACATTAAGTAAAGGGCTTGCCAAACTTTGCAGCAGCTGAAATTGCCCTAGCATTTTAAGTGCAACTCCATTTACAGTATTCACAACTGTTAAGCCTTGAGGTGTCATAGCTTATACTTCTTACTCTAGCAAGATGTGGTACTGACTTCTAGATAAATGACATTAATCTTAGCAGAGAGCCATGTATCCAGAAATGCTAGAGATCCAGAAGGATTTCAGCTGTGCAAATGTATGTCAGAGCAGACGTGTCCTCCATTTCTCTCATCCCATTCTGACAGCGAAGATGAATGTGACTCTTCCTGTTGCATTTTCAGACAACTATAATTTTAGTCTTGTCTATGCTGCGTTTCAGTTGCTAAATCTTTCTTGGCTCTTACTGTTAGTAAATTACTGAATAGATTTGTCTTTATCTACACCAGTTTGTCAGATGGAGGCAGGAGTTAATGTTCAGAATTCTTCACTGACTATATCAATAAACCTCAACTTCCGTAACATTTCTTTCGTAGCAAGGCATAGAAACAGACAACTTTTGTCCAAAACCTTCAAAATATGAAGTTATCTGAAAGTATGCTCTACGACTGGGCAAAAAGAGAGAGGAATAGCTACACTTAAATAATATAATGGAGTATACTGAGGACCATGTCTCTAGCATTTGTTCTGACTTCTTAGTTTCTCATTTCAATATGTTTGGGTGAGTTTGTTTATTGAAACATCCCACCCCTACACAGCAGACAATCTGCTTGTCTGTTGTTAGCAACTTGCTGTTTATACTGTGCTTTTAATTTAGGCTACCTTGATTATAAATAGACCTTTTAGCTAG